GAAGTCTCGGAGAGACTCGTCTGGCTTCTAGCGGCAGCTCTTAAGATCCCAGGAGTTCCCTGGGCGCACGTATGTGCCCTGAAAGTTCCTGACGAAGATCCTAACCAAGTCACGCCAGTCGTGGATTTGTGAGGGGGGGAGGTGCTCGAGCCAGGCTCGCGCCGAGTCTGACAAGAGCAAGGGGAGGTTGCGGATGATGAGCAGGTCATCATCCACGCCACCTAGCTGGCAGGCCAAGCGGTAATCGGCAAGCCAGAGTTCGGGGTTGGTCTCACCGTTGTACTTCACGAGATTGGCTGGTTGCCGAAATCGGGCGGGGAAAAGAGCAGCGTGGATAGCCCTGCTGAAGACCCGAGGGCCTGGCGGTTCAGGAGAAGGACTGCGGTCCTCCCAACTGTCATAGCGGCCGCCTCGGTGTGGGTGGTAGCCCCGAGCAGGCCCCTCGCTGTCGTGGTGTCGTCGCCTGCTGACCACCTCGTGGTTTCCCTGCAGCTCGCGTCGGTTGCCGAGGTGGTCCAGAAGCACGGAGGCCCTGTGGGCTATCGGTGTTCGAGTGGGCTCGGGACGAGCTGAGGCTTCCCTGCCTTGCCGAGGCGGTGCCGCAGGCAGGCTCGAGACACCCCCGTGCCGTCGGGAAGCGGAACTCTCAGCCTGCTGAACCGCGACGGTCTCTAGGAGCTCTCGGAGCTCGCCGTGGACCCGCCGCCCCTCCGTGGTAGAAGGCTCGGGCATCGTGTGGACCAACATTGCCGCGGCCATGATGTTCTAGCTGGCGCGATTGAAGACTGGGGGTTGCTCGCTCCCTTCGTCGTCGTGGATGCGATGATGTACATCACGGGCCCTTTGTCGGGCTCCTCCGCCTTCGCCGCGACCTTGTTGCTCTTGTTCGAGAGAGTCTCGAAGCTGCTGTAGAAGGAGTCGGTCCTGTTCGACCTTGGCCTGGAGCTCACAGAGCTGTTCTAGGTCTGGACGTTGAGGTCGCGCAAGAGCAGGGTTCTCATTCCGTGCTGCCGGTAGGACAATGCGTGGAGGTGTGGCGGCGCCTATACCTGGGCGAAGCAGGGAACGGCTACCCGCCCCCTCGTCTTCCTCACCCGCCCTCGGTATCCCGAGCCCGACGTGGAAACACTCGCGAGCGGGGTCGTAGGTGCCCTCGTTGTCAGAGTCGGAGTAGCCGAAGCAGTAGTCGCTTGCGGCCAGGAAACGGCGCATAGCCCCGGGGTCGTGGAGTCCAGAGAAATCCACTCTGGGCCATGCCTCGTCCTCCTCCAAGGAGTCGGCGTGGGTGCCCAGGTCGAGAGTGAAGCGCTGGCGGCGCTCTGGGGGATCCTTGTGAGCGGCGGTGTAAGCGTAAGCATAAGAGGTGGTGGCATTTCTCAACCTAAAGGGGTATGAGGATGGTGCCGTTGCCGAACTTTGCTCCGCCAAAACTAGCTATTCAGGGAGTGGTGGAGCGGAGCTTGGTGACTGGGCGTCGCCATGTGCCACCGGTGTTTTTCCTTCGTCCAAGCTCAGGCTAGACAGGTCCCCAGCCAGGGAGCCTGTGCCAGCAGCTGGTCGTAGGATGTCGGCGGGGAGCGGCGTGCCGTCCTGGATTCGAGTAGCATTGGGGTGGTCTTGCTCGCGTCGTGCCTGGCGAGCACGGCGAGAGCGGCCGCCCGGGCGCCGCCTGCGCCTGGGCTATCGGTGCGTGACGTCGCCATCGGTTGGTGGGGCTCGGGGCGTGAGGAGTACTGTCGGGGACCTAATACCAGGGTACCCCAAAGAGGAGGAATCAATGCACCATCGAACGGTAAAAACTCCCGAGAGCGTGGCTGTATCTCTTGCCCGAGCAAACAGGAGTCTTGCTCCGCCTCGCCCGACCCCCGAGGGCTGGGCTCGGCCCCGCCCGACGGCTGGAGGGCAACTCCGCCTCGCCCGACGGCTGGATAACAACTCACTCGACCCCCAAGGGATACACTCCGCCTCGCCCCCCCAGGGCTGGGCTCGCCCTCGCCTGGACGGCCGGGGACACCTCCGTCACCCTTGACGGTAAAAGCTAGGTTTTACCTCATCCAACGACCACCGACGGACCTCGTCTTAAACCGAAATCCGAGGCTGGTTCAGCTCACTGACGAAAACGCACTCGCATCCTCATGATGGCGACTATAGGGTAAGACAAGACATTCGGGTCAACCACAGCGACAGATGCCATGCCCTGCACCCCTGTAGAGAGGTACCGTCAGGATGTGGCAGAGCCAAGCATCTGACCTCTCCAGCGTGGCGAGCCCAAAGCAAGGTTGCGGGCGCCGCTATTCATCCTGAAGATTGTAGGCGCCGCCCAAGCAACCTCCTGGACGAAGAACCCGATGCGGACATACGACAACCACTATGTTCCAAGGGCAAAGCAACAATCCACGCCACCCGACCCCCTCGGGGTCGGGGTCTCGGCTAAATCTGTCGACACGCCGCCCAGAGAAGGCGGGATGGGACATACCCACTTGCTAAACAAAGGGCCATGGCACGCCCCGACGATCTACAGAATCCTCACTCGACACGGCCTCGCCATGATGGATAGGTCAGCGTGGGGAAGAAGGAAGGCCCGGTCCTCGAAGGACCTTCTACGCCCTTAGTGCTCTTTTCCTTTGTCTCAGAAACCCTGCTCCCCTTGACCTATAAAAAGGGCGGCAGGGGCCCCCACTAAAGGGGGGATCGATTTCAACAGGTTAACACACACACACACACGCACCACATGGCCAAGCTCCAGCAGAGCTCTTGGCGTCCTTCCAATCACTCCATCGTGGACTTGGGGTCTTTCCCTCTCCCAACCGTTTGTACCCCTACTACGAACCTCATTCGGTGCTAATAACACGAGCAAATGAACAGATGGGCGTAGGGACATTTGGCCCGAACCAAGTATAACCCTTGTGTCCTTTAGCGCACCATCCGGACCTAACGCGCATCAATTACAAATTTACTCGCCGGTGTTTGTTCGAAACACCGACAAGTACCATGTCGTACTCATGCCCCAGAGACATGAACTCCAGGCCCCCAAACCAGATCACCGTGCCGAGACATAACGGTCGTACGGGGTCTGCCATCCGGAACTTGTTGGGATGATGAAATCGACACGCAGAGGCCCCTACCGGCGCGCTGCTAATGTCGGTGTTTGGACCGGGGTCCTCTACCAACTAGTGAATTTGAACTGCGTGCCCCTAATCCCGGATGGTGATGCAAAGAGACACAAGGTTTATACTGGTTCAGGCAATCGATGCCCTACATCCAGTCTAAGAGATCGATCTTGTATTCCTTGCACCGAAGTGCTAGTAGTAGGGGGTTACAAGCACAGGGAGAGAGGGAGCTAATCCTGTGTCTCGGCGAGGTGTCGTGTGGGCTGCTTGAGACGTTGCTCTCAAAGTGCCGGGATGTGTATGTGTGTGAGCTACCGGTGTTTCTTCCTATTTCTCCTTTCCCAGAGCTATCCTCGGCTGCTTCCCTTTTATAACCGCAAGGAGGGAGCCAGGTACATGAGTGAGCTATCGTGGAGCCAATCAGTAGTTCAGTCCTGTGAAGACATGGTGTTGGGGATGGCGATTGGTACTTGATCGGTGCGCCTGTGGCGGCTGTGCCTGAGGTTGTTGAGGTCGTGGGAGTCCTTGTTGACGTCTAGTCGATATGGCTTCCACCGAGGAGACATGCCGTGCCTTGTGTGTTCTTGACTTGGTGGAGTGCCGAGGCTCAAGGGTCTTGTGGCCGATCATGCCGAGGCTCGCTTTGCTTAGGCCTCGGGCGATGACCCGTGTATGATGCGGGGTCTCTGGTGGTCAGTCGCTGCACCGGTTCAGGTGGAGAAGTGCGGAGCGTGTCCATAGGGCACAGTAACCCCTACACCGTTAGTAGGGGATGGTAAAAAGGAGATTTGACCGCTGTCCCATCGCCCCTGTTCTTTGTACCACTCGTCGGTCGTGGCTTGTAGTAGTAGGTGTGACCAGGTGCACTTAAACGGATGTGACGGCTCGCCAGAGGGACGGTTGAGGCGGAGGCGACGAGGATGCGGGACGAGCCCGGCCTCGGCCGAGGCGGAGAAGGAATAGTACGCCCGAGGCCTTGCCGGGGGGTCTCTTGACGAGGCGGAGGACGAACGGTTGGTCTTTCATGCTGATTCCGAGACTACTGGGACCCAGACTTGACCCTCCACGCCACTTTGTCCTTGGCGCAGGAGTTAGGTAGCACAGGGCAGTATGGGTGTCATCAGGGGGCACAGTGATGAGCACAATGGTAGGTAACCCCTACTGCGCCCGGTCCCCTGTCCCGTCGGTCATTCTGCTTCAGACCGTGCTAACGCGTCTGGTGACGTTCTATGGGAGTAGTGGGGCGTATTGACCGGACGTGGCATTTTGTCGAGGGAGTCGGTCGGACGGAGGTGACGAGGTTGTTGCTTTTCCACCCGACGGGCGAATCGGAGAATTGGTATCCCATCCGAGGCATTGCGGGCGGGGCCTCGGCGAGGGGGGGCTCGGCGAGAGGGCCTCGACGGGCGGAGGGCTTTGGCCTTTAAATCCGAGGCCTCGGCGCAAGCCTTGGGTGAGTCGGAGAATCTGCCGAGACCTCGTGGTTGTCCTTTGGCTTTGATTTTTGCAAGGCTTAAGCAATATTTTCGGTTCTTGCTTAGGGTACCCCTTCTTGTGGTATCCGACACATCTCATTTGTTGGCAAAAAGTTTTGGTGGTTAAACCTAATTTATGTTCAAAATGCAGGCTTGGTCCAACAAAGAAGTCAAACATTTACAAGGGGTGAATGAGAGATTGCTGAAAAGAATTGTTGTACTAAAGGGAACAGTTAAGACATTGAATTCTAAAATAGATCCTTTGACCCTAGACGATTCACTTAACCAGTTTGTAGAACAATGCTTGGGTTCAGAAGATGTCATTTATCTAGTTGGTGATTTTGATGGCTTCTCATTTGTGCCATCACTAGACTCTTTTTCCCCTTCATTGGACATAGTAACACCCCTCAAACCAATGGCTGTTGGCAAGTCATATACCTCAACTGTTGCACTAGAGGGCAAGATATTTGTTCTCGGTGGTGGTGATGGTGTTTGCTGGTTTGATACAGGTTACTACTTGGCTTCTAAGTTTAGTTCCCTCTTGAGCTCTTGTATTTCAATCTCTGTCCTGATTCTGCATTTATCTTTTGGATGAAGTTGACTGTTATGACCGAAGCCGTGGTGATTGGTCCACATGCCCATCGTTGACTCGTGACAAGGGGAGCCTTGCTGGGGTTAGTGTCAATGGGAGAATCTATGCATTTGGTGGTGGAGATGGAACTGAGTGTTTCTCTGATGTTGAGATGTTTGATCCTACTCATGGAAAGTGGATAAAAAATCAACCTATGCTGGAAAAGGTATCAGTTTCTACCGTTCATTTGTTCTAGAATGTGAAAACTTTTTTTCTCATACATTACTGAAGCCCTTAGACTTGGTGGAACATGCATAAATCTGCCTAAGACACAAACAGCTTGGGAAATAATAACCATTTACTCATGAAAACTGTGTAATTCTGCAGTGAAGAAAAACAGTTCCTGGTTCCATTTCAATTTGATGTACTGTCCTTTTTGGGAAAATATTTGCTTCTGACACAAATCTCCACATAATATGATAAACTCTTTAGCTTGACTAACTTTGTCACACTGTTCTTCAGCGCTTAGCTCTAGCTGGTGTAGCACTAAATGGTGTGATTTATGCTGTTGGTGGCTTCAATGGTGTTGAATATCTGAGGTGCTGTACTTTCCTGCCTGTACTTAGTACTTGATTGGTTTAGTTTTGATCTGGTGGAAATACAACAGCTCATAAAACCTCCAGACATCTCAAAACAGTTAGTTAAACCTCATGCGCTGGCCTATGGTTTAATGCAAATCTAAATAAACTGAATTATTTCATAAATGTTCATTAGCATATTCTCTGTTGCTATAATGGCAGTGGTATTTGAAGTGAGAGGAACAACAAGAAAACTATTCTGCTAACTTTGTGATGTGTATTGGCAGCTCTGCTGAAAGACTTGATCCTCGGGAGCCTAACTGGAAAATGCTGCCAAAGATGAGTGCACGAAGGGGCTGTCATACACTTACAGTGCTTGATGAGAAGATGTAAGTCATGTAACTCTTTCTTTTTATGTCAAAACAATGAACTGAAGATATGTAGGATGTTCCTTCTAAAAAATATGCTATATATATAACGCGTGCCCAACAAATGAGGGGGGGGGGTATCAGGGTGTATACTATCCTTTGTTGACATAATTTGCCTTTGTATTTTCTTCCAGATTCTCGATTGGTGGATACGACACTGGGCCTAAAGCAATGGTGGCTACTGTTGAGGTGTGCGAGCCAAGGATGCCGTCATGGATGATGGTTGAACCCATGAACTACACACCAGAGGATATCATTCTTCAGCTGTGCTCGGTGGCTCAATATTCACCTTTGGTGGGGTGAAACTTGAAAGGTGAAGCAGATACAATCTTGGATGTGGTAAGTAGCAACACCAAATGACAAATTTCTTATCGTGTTCATTTGGCTGTTAATAATTCAACTGAGCTGGAACCAAAAATCATACATCCAAAATCTTGCATTTAGTTGCCAGGGCTTGATAGTGAGGCAGTCACTGAACTGGTATTTGTCAAGGGTCTGCCTACATCAACTGCATATGTTGTTTGTTATCATACCAGTCTCGGCATGAAAGTGTACTGCATTTGAGATGAGCACATATTCTAGGGTCCTTAGGCACTTGTTTTTATTATTTTGCTTTTCTGTCCCTACTGCATATACCATTTTGTTGTCATGTCACTGTCTAGTGCATTTTATCTGAACAAGTGAACATGAATTCTTTGGTTTCCTTAAGTACGTTGTTTTGGTCGTTGTCGTTTTTTCTGCATACAATACTTGTCAAGTACGCGCCATGGCTAACAGTTAAGCATTGTTGTGATGGCGCTTTGTCAGGTAGAACGCTACAAGGAAGGGTGTGGTTGGGTGACTACGGGGTTGAAGTCGATTGGCAAGAGATGCTACTGCTCAGCGGTTGTTCTCTGACTGTAAGTGCATACAACAGTATTGACATGGCGAGATATTGTAATTTCTGACAACCAAGTGAGCAGGAAACTGATATTAGGCAAGAACTTAATTAGTACTTAGAAGGCTCTTGCTTAGCCTGAACTACCAATAGTAGACATGATGGAGGGCTTCCTCCTCTTAGTTTCTGAATCTCGGAGAACTGTAAAACATTGAGCTGTTTGTGTTGACTGGGTCGATGATGCAGCAACACCGGATGTGACAGAGTTGGTACTAAACTGGTGTAGAACGACACTCAATTGATGAATATCCAGCAGCACTGTGATGGTTATTTGACTCTGTACGTTGTGCTCTGCTCTTTTGGTTCCAGGCTTCCAGCTATTTTCTAAAGCAGCTTGTCAAGATTCCTACTAGAACTAATACCCTACATACAATCTACTGCATAATCGTGATAAAATGTAGGATAAGTGGAAGTACACGTAAATCTAAGGCTAAACAAGAAGGAAGCCAAAAGAAAATAGGGTTCATATATCATGGGCTTGATTTGTGCTACTGGACACACTGAAAACTTGCGGCCTTCTCAATTCTCATTCAGAACAAACCTTCTTTAGTAGGCTGAAATTGCAAAAGACGCTGTGAGTGTCATCACGGGTGGTGGTGCGACGTGCGGTGGATGGCGGTGCAGAAGAGACAGCGACGTGACGCTCAGAGGACGACACCAATGTGCGAGAAAAGGAGCGCGGGTGAGTGGCCACTGGCGGTGCGCGTGGCTTTAATTTGCATGCGGTCTTAGGTCAAACATACAACTTGAAAATGAAAGGCTACACTATGTTAATGGGAGGTCTTTAATTTGTGAAAAGGAGGCTTTAATTTGTTACCTCCTTTGTGATTCATTTCCAATCATAGATGGTCTGCTTGCATCTGAATGGTTGCTTTTCTTGTAACCCATTTGTTTTTTTGCCTCGAGAACCCTAAGTAAGTCTAACGAGGTCTAAGGGTAAATCGACATAACAAACACAACGGATAAAGCAAAATGCACGTCCAAAACACCCTTATACGAGTACAACATATAGGCACTCCCTCTCCCATTCTCGACACATCGTTTGGCTCCTACAACTTGACGATTCTTAACATCTACGACTGAAATACAATGGAAAGATTACAACACTAGAGGATGGCGATGAAAAACACTACTAGCTACGGGTACATGTCCCCTAGGACAACTCATCTACTTCGTCGGACCAAACGGCTTCATTCCCGGCCTCGGTTGGTTCTTCTTCTGCACTGGCTAAGGATCTATCTCCTCTCGTGGTGGTGGCTGAGTGAGGGGAAGCAAGGACTCTACTTCTGATACCTTCGAGGGTGGAGGTGCTGGTGGTACTGCAACACCGTTTCTCCTTTCCGGCGGGTGAACAGGGATTCCCTCTAAGACCAAGGGTTCCTGCCTTTCTGTATCAAGCGTCCTACGCTTGGCCCTTGTGACCAGATAAGCATCCTCCAGCTGCTGGGTGTGCCGATCTTCAGCCTCCTTCAGGGCTTCTGCCATGGCAGTCTCACGACTTTCTGTGGCTGCCACATTGGCGTGCGCCTCAGCGAGTTGCACTTTGAGCATCCTGGAGAAGATCTCGGCTTCCTCGGCTCGGCGGAGGCACTTCCTCAGCTCAAAGGCCTGCCGGTCATACTGCTCATCTAGAGCAATCAAATACGTGGCCTGATGTACCACAGTTGGGCTGTCTTCTTGCGCGTCCCGCCCTTGCAAAGCCTCCATGTGAGCCCTCCATACTCGTCGATTCTTTTCCAAAGGTGGAAAGAACTTCATGGGGGTACGAGCAATTGGCTCTTCATAGATCTGGCAAAGATGCCGCAAGGCTTTGCGGGCCACAACTTGGTAGGTGTCGACGAAGCGAAACCCGGTTGCGGTCACATTCCAGGCTTCAGTGATATCGAGGAATTCCTCACTCTTCCCAATGTAGACGGTGACCTCACATCGCTCAATACCATGTTTCTCATACTCATGACCCTCATACTCGGGGCGATCCTTGACTCTGAGTTTTTGCAAGGTGGCATACAGGATTTTGGGAAAACCCTCAGTGTTTAGGCAATAGCTGCTAACCCAGGCTCCTGCCATCCTTGGTGGATGATGGTTACAAGGAAGGATCGAGCGAGAAGCTTGCTCGGGAGAAAGGCTAGGTGAGCTGAGACTCACCGAGTGGTGGTACCAAGTGGCTAGGCTAGGCCTTTTGTAATGGAGGAGCGGTCATTGGGCCTGGCGTAGTCCGCCATTTAGTCTGGCGCAGAGAACAATAAAAGGAAAGCAGCAGGATTTTTACGTGCACGAGACGAGCAGTGTCCGAGGCCATTCCCTAGGCTATCTAGAAATTCACTCAGTCAATTTAAAAGCGCTTGACATCTTCACCTACGCAGGGTGGGTCAAAAGCAGGTGGACACATTTAATGCCTCTCCTCCTTACCATCAGATAAAAACGATTCATCGACCATGCAGGAACATTTGTACTTACACATGCATCCATGCATCTAAGACACGGCTTGGTTTGTGTGCACATTGCTCCCGAGGTGGTCGGTGGTTGGGGCTGGTCGCCAACGAGGAGAGAATGATGTGCCAAAAAGCTAAGAATGGTTTCCCTATATGTTGGCAACAGTGAAAGGACGTATAGGACGTGCATTCATGCATATCCTATTTGTGCATTATAGTGCCGCATTGCTGGCAGATACGCCATCCATAGGTGTCACGCATGTCGTATTGTGCATGACCTACTCGTTCCTGTTCTAGAGTTAGGTCTGCACTGTGGCTTCGTCCTTCGCGTTCGCCCGTGGTTCACGCCTGTAGTGGCCCATGTCTCCTGGTACCCCTTTTCTGTGCTCTTGTTGGACCCTTGCCCTGCAGTCGTACTACTCAGTAATGGCACCGCACGTCGCTTGCCTCGAACGCGCGGAATTTGGTCAATTCATTCATAGTGATCCCACGCAGGAACCCTAGTGAACTGTGTCAGGACCACAGACCGCTCCACCTTTATAAGCAGAGCCTGTCTTAGCCATTGGTACCACCACTCGGCGCACTTTAGCTCGCTTAGCTTTTCCTTTGAGCCAGCTTTTCGCTTAGCCTTCCTCACAACCACCGCCAGAAATGGCAGGTGCCTGGGTTAGTAGTTACTGCTTGAACGTTGAGGGTTTTCCCAGAATCCTGCATGCCACCCTGTAAAAGCTTGGAGTTAAAGATCGTCCCGAGTATGAGGGCCGTGAGTATGAGGAGCAAGGCACGAAGCGGTGTGAGGTTACCATCTACATCGGGAAGAGTGAGGAGTTCCCCGACCTCACTGGAGCTTGGAGTGTGACCGCAACTGGGTTTAGCTTTATCGACACCTACCAGATTGTGGCCTACAAAGCCTTGCGGTACCTCTGCTAGATCTATGAGGAGCCCATTGCTGGTACCCCCATGCGGTTCTTTCCACCTTTGGACAGGAATTGGAGGGCATGGAGGGCTCGCATGGAGGCTTTGCAAGGGCGGGATGCGCAAGAGGATAGTCCTACAGTGGTGCATTTGACCGCGTACCTTCTTGCCCTGGATGAGCAGTATGACCGGCAAGCCTTGGAACTGAGGATCTGCCTCCAGCGGGCGAAGGAAGCTGAGATCTTCACCCAAATCCTCCAGGTGCAGCTCGCCGAGGCGCATGCCAGTGCTGTAGCTGCTGAGAGCCAGGAGACTGCCATGTCCGAAGCTCTGAAGGAGGCTGAAGATCGGCATGTCCATTAGCTACGGGAGGCCTATCTTATCACCAGGGCCAAGCAGAGGATGCTGGCCGCTGAAAGGCAGGATGCCCCGATCTTGGAAGGGATCCCTGTCCACCCGCCTAAAAGGAGGACCGGTGTTGCAGTGCCGCCAGCACCTCTACCTTCGGAAGTGTCAGAAGTAGAGCTCTTGATTCCTCTCACTCAGCCATCGCCAAGAAAAGATGTAGATCCATAGCCAAGGCGGTTGAAGAATCCGCCAAGCCCGGGAATGGATATGCATAGTTTCAAGTAGATTAGTTGTCTTGAGATGCTGTACCCGTAGTAGTAGTAGTGCTGTTCTTCGCTGTCTTCCGGTATTGTACTTTTGCCGTTGTTTTCGTCCGTACTATTGAGATCGTCCGTCTTAGGGAAGGTGAATGATGTGTTGTGAATGGTAGACTGTATGCCTGTATGATGTGCCCGTATAAGACCGTTGGAATATGCATTTGGTTTATTTCTCTGTGTTTATTGCGTCCATCTACTTAATTCCCGTTAAACGTGCTTAGAGTTTTCAAGGGCGATGGTAGGTGGGTTACAAGAGAAGTTGCCATCCAGATATCAGCAAACCAGTCATGATTGGATAATATAGGATGATGTATCGATTAATTGTGGATGTCCTAGTAGAACACTTGAATCTCTTTAAATCAAATCCACCGTTGGATTTGAATTCATTGTCCCTTATTGTAAAGGGAACCCTTGTTGTTTGAATCTTCCCTTGCAATACTCCCCTCATTCTATGGTCTATGACCCCACCGCCTTTCGGCCATGAAGTTGGTAGTAGTTGCCTGGTTAATAGCTTATGGTGTCGTAACGAAACCGGGGGCTCTCTGTGGAATAGCTGCCACATGGTGACGCTGCTCGCCATGCGCTGGTATCGAGGTTGTTGACCAAGTACCTTTACCAAGTTACACCGCCATACCACTTTTGATACAAATATTCGGGTGTTTGAACGAGAAATCCACAATGGGTTGCTGAAATAGTATTCTCTCAGAGTAAATAAGAGGAGCTGGTTTCGGAGGAAGCATGTATGTTGCGATCTCACTTCATACAGAGTTTGGCGCATATTGTGGACAAGGGAAGGAAAGAAGAACACTTAGGAAAAGTTAGCCTTGGATAGTAGGGAATGCTTGAGAAAAGCCTGAGTGGATGTCAAGTCCCAGGCACTGTGCCCAGCTCGACCACGCTACGCACGCCGGGTCGCTGTCACCACGTGCCCCGCGGACGCCATCGGTGTCGAGCCCATTAGCACCCTATCCTCGCATGGCCTCGACATCATGTCGCACTCGCCGTCCTCGTGCATTGTACGCTTCTCCTTTTTTCGGCCTCCGGTCCGCTCTTGATCCACGCCCTCATCCCCGTACCAGACCTCCATCCCTTCTTTCTTCTTTTGGGGACACGACCATCCGCACGCCTCCCTCATCGAGCGAACCCTCTCTCCTCTCCTTTATTACCCCCCTCCGCTCGCTTGAGCAGAGAGTGCGCCATGGCCGGCTATATCTCCACAGCGTGAACCGGCAGCGTATCCCATCATGCCGTCTCCACTTCCGGTGTGCTGCGCCCCATCTTCGTTCGCCACTATAAGATGCCCTTGGTCCTTGCTCTTCTTCTTCATCCCCATCCTTCTCGAATCCGAAGCAGAGCTACGAGATCCAGTCCTCATTTCGTCTGACTGAGGTGATGGTGTAATATAAGAATAAGGGATCTGGTTTTCGAAGAAGTTCAAGTCTACCGTTGGTTAGTTTGATCTTAAGGTTCATGATTTTTAACTTCTCAGCCTCCTGTTTCTGGATCTGTTGGTCATACGTCATGTTTTGGATAATCATTATCTTGTTGTTTCTCCATTGCCCTCGTCAATCCCGACTTCTAGAGTAAGCCTTGGTTGTGCTAGGTTCCTCTTAACCATGTAACTTTAAATCTCAGTGTGATTTAGTGCTCGACACCGTGTAATCTTTCGTGTAATTCCAGATTTACGAAATGTGTTGAAGTTTCGCCTAAGGGGATTGGATCCTAATTCACTATTTTGTAAACCCTCGCGTTAGGAGAAATACTTGTGTTGTAGTTTTTACTATTTTCACCTATAATGTAATCCTAGCCAATGTTGTGTTTAAAATCTAAGTTTGTTAGTTGTTTGAGTCCAACTCCATCAAATATTTCTTTCCACTAATATGTCATTGATTTGCTGACCTAGAATAGGCACCATGTAATGACAACCAACCTCTATGTTTGTTTACAGTATTGAGACTAATCTTCCGTACCAACACGATAAGAAAACATATTAGACATATGAGCCATATTTCTCAGGATTTTTTCTATACCAAGCACATCACCCGCAGCGAAGCGCGGGCAGCGATGGCTGTAGAACACGAAAGCATGACTTACGACAATGCTATCAGTAGCATGCGCCTGAAACCACGACTGCCACTAGCGCGCACCCAATGTTATATTTGAGAGCGTTTCTGGTAGATTATTACTTTTTTTCTTCTGTTATAAGGCATAGGCACTTTTGCTAGCTTATATTATAAATGTAAAGTCTTATTATAACAAATAAATATTATTAAATTAATTATGAATTAGAATCTTACAGTAAAACTATTTGGATTCATAAATGATGATACAAATTTGATCAAACTTAAAAAAGTCATGACATAAATGATGTTGCTCCAATTAATTCATTCCAAAATGATCCACACATAGTTCTTAGTCCGTGCGGTACCGGTGCACTCTACAAATGATGGACACAAAAAATGCTCAGTTCTTTTTCAGCATTCTTCCGCGAGGACAAAGTTAATCTTTCTCACAATCAGCACGTAAAATGCTCATCACGCTACTCGCTAACATCTACTCCAAGTCAGTTTCTGCAGCTACACATTCTGATCACTGATATGCACTCCAAAATCAAACATGCATATCAATTAGCACACAGCCTCGATCTACCATACACATACACACGACGACGGTTCAAGTTGCAAGACACTTCTTAAGGATAGTAACAAATAATCTTTCAACTGTTCTGCACTTGTCCCGATCAATTCATTTGAAATAATTCCCTGAATCATCATCGAGTACCAAACATTCTTGCTCATTGCGTCCCTTAAGATCACACTTGGTACACCGATTATTTCCTTCTTTGCCATTTCTGCTGACATTTTTAACTGTACCGCTACCATCTTCTCTCACGTTGCCACAATTACTTTTATTGTGGCCTGGTTTTCCACATTTACTAGAAAACTTGCTCTGATATGGAACCCCTCTGTTTATCGGTGATGTTAGAGACTCTAACGTACCTTTGGTTTTCCCCTTAACCGTCTTTTTCCTTGTATTTGACTTTGACGTCAGCACACTTTTCTTGTTTGAAACTGTTTGACCACGAACACCAAGCTTTTTAGCCTTCTTTATATTCTTTTCCGCTGATGACTTCAATCTTTTAATCACTGGCCGGCCCCGCGATTTATCCCTGACTGGCGCTTTAAGGTTTAGAATATCTGAATCACTCATCCCTGCACTGCCCCCTGCTGCCCCATATCTATTTCCTTTTGCAGCCTCTACATCAGTTGCTTCTGACATTTCTTCATCATTGGAGCATTCTGTCTCAGCTTGATTATTTCTAGCTTCTAGATCTCCGTTGACCTCCTTGATCGCTGCATCTAGGTGTTTCATCACTATGTCATGTGTCCTCCTGTCAGTGTTACCCTTGGTAACAGCCTCTAGCGCCTTTGCATTCATCCTTCTTCACCATATGCATTCTGTATCTGATATATCATTCTTTGATGATGAGTTGAAATGCTTGCATGGTAGTACAGAAGATGATATGTGTGAAGAGGGGGATTGTGAAGAAGGATATCAGGCAGGAACAGAATCTGAACAAGAGAATGGCGAGGATGTAGTTTCAAATGGAGAAGTTGCCTTCAACCCTATTAACGAGACATATAATTCAATTAGGGATTTTGTTACTACCTTTAGTGACACAATTGCAAGGGAAGACTTCTTGCGTGGCAGGGGTTTTGATGATGATGACTTCGTTCGAGGGATAGATGACACAGAGCTTAATGGGTTTGAATTGAGCAATGGTGAAAATGGTGATATTCAATTCCAGGATGAAGTACCTGACGAAGCAAGTAAATATGGTGATGATATAGAAAATATTCCTGCTAATGTGAACTTGGAGGATGGACAATCAGAAGAAGATGGGCACCATGAGCTCAATAAAGCAAGTGCAGCGGAAGGGAGATGTTGTAATGATAATACAGAATCTGAAACCGATGGATACGCATGCCCATCCACACTTGGTGATTGCGGGTGTGCCAAGCAGGAAATAGCGCATGAGATATCTGAAAGGTATCTAGCCCAAGCAGGGGTGGCTTACAAGAAGAGGTATAATAAATTTCTATGTGATGAAAGGACAACCCAACTAATGGTATATGTAGTAAAAAAATAACATGATGAAACATGTCTAAAGCTATACTAGGATTTGGAATTTGGCACTCATACTCAAAATGAGTTCATTTTGTTATTTCTAAAGAATATGTGAAAACAACATTTGAATAATTCATCATATTTTTCTCAAACATAGAATGGGTAGACAACTCAAAAATTATTTTACATCCTGTAGTAACCTGAGTATCCTGTGTTCTTTTTTTGAAAGGTACCGGACGAATAAGAACATGAAGGGAACTGACTGCAGGAAACCAAGAGATATGGGTGCTGTTGAAATTGCAATGAGAACAGCGAGCCATCGAAAAGGTGAACACATATTTGAGCCGATATTGGGGATGGTTTTTGACTCAAAGGAGGAATGTTATGAATTCTATAATATGTACTCATGGGAATATGGTTTTGGGATTATTTACAATAAAAGCAGACCTACGAAAGATCCAGATTTTAGAACAATGCAGGAATTTTGCTGCGATAAAGCGGTGAGTGTAAATGCAAATACATTCGATACTTCTAATTGCTTTAGTGACGATATTATTAAAACCTTGAGTTTTTTTGTTTGTTGTTATTCCAGGGTAAAGACAGGCGTGTTAGTAGTACTACCAAGAAGGTTAACTGCAAGGCAAGGATTAAGTTGCTACGTGATGAACACGGGGGCTGGTATGTCTCTGAATTTGTCAAAGACCACAATCACCCACTTGCTGAGAGCTGTTCAGAGAAAAGGCACTTGTTCTCCCACAAGAGGCTAGATCCTTATACACGTACTAGATGTCATAAGGTATCTTCGAGAGAGTAATGTGGACCAGACGAGAGTGCGCTGTATAATAGGTTCAATGTTTGGGAGTTTCAAGGATGCTCCATGTACCAAAAGGTCAATACGGACTATATGCAGTCAAATTGCGAGGGAACAGATGGATGATGATGTTGGCAAGACAATGGAATTGTTTAAGAAGATGAAAGAAGAAGACCCTGGCTTCCAGTGGAGTGTGGAGGTAGGTGAAGGAAGCCGGATTAATACACTGATGTGGTGTAGTGGGAAAAGTCGAGAACAATACGCATGCTTTGTTGATGTTGTAACTTTTGACACTACATACTCAACAAACTTCTACAAAATGTCATTCGGGTTGTTCGTAGGTGTTAACAATCATTTCCAGACTATAGTGTATGTTGGTGTCCTGATGAGAAATGAAACAACTGAAAGTTTCAAGTGGGTATTCAAGGAATTTGAGACGCTAATGGGAGCAAAGCCACCACGTACAGTGCTAACTGGTAAGTGGTGGATTGAGTAGAAAAAGTTACATCACCTATTGTTTTCTGTATGTTGAAAAAAGTTTTGCTTCTTTTTTTAACAGACCAATGCAAGGCGATGAGCATCGCTTTAGGTGAAGTTTGGCCTGATACATTCCATCTATGGTGCAAGTGGCATGTCCTGAAGAGGATTAGAGAGTGTCTTAGACCAACTTACACAAAAAATGCAGCATTTAGAGATGAGTTTTATTTTATTGTTAATGAGATGATGACAAAGCAAGAGTTCGAAGAATCCCAGTCTGACTTGTGTGAACGTTACCAACTGACAGAAAACCCTTTCATGATTAGAACTTTTCAGTGCCGCTCAAAATGGGCTAAGCCATGGTCAAAAGGTAATTTTTGTGCTGGTATGACAAGCACACAAAGGAGTGAGAGTGCGAACTGGATGCTTAAGAGGTTTGTACCAAGGAACTCATCTATGAACCAATTCGTCTCCCAGTTCAATAAGTTGTTGGATGATAGGGACATGGAAGAAGGGAGAGAAGAGAATCTAACAAAACAGGTAGTTAATTTCAAAAAAAAATGTTTAGTTTGTCATCTTAATATTGTTCTGAATAAAACTAATGCTTTCCAAATTTTATATAGCTGGTTGTTAAATATAGTAGGCTATGGCCTATTGAGAGGCATGCTTTATCAAGATCTACACAAGGCAGTCACTGAAATTGTTTCGTAAACAAGTTGACCTCGCTGCAAATTTTAGAGTCACTGGAAAAGGTCCAGATTTTTATCTGGTAGCTCGGAGCAATGAAGATCACTGCCCAGAATGGCGGAAGAAAGTATACAAGGTGTTTATGATATAACATTTTCTGATTACCTGGTCCGTAATGACAATGACCTTCATGCGTAGAGCCTGCAAATATTTCTCAATATTAGAAATTTAGTCAGTTCCTCATTGATAACATTATGTAAAAACTATGGTCGTGTAATGCAACCAATAACAATATACACCATCAGTACTTTAAAATTTTCTTCCTCATTGAACAATTGATACTCCAGGTTATTACAAATGTGTCCTTTATTTTAACTATTCGATAACAGAGCTGAATGTGCCAAGTTTATTCATTCTGTAATTTTTAGCCTTGGCGCCAGGTAGAGACTCAACTGACTTAGGTACAATTTATAGCATATGCTTATAAAAAGCTCTATAGATGATTGTTCCAAAAAAATAAAGGTTAAACAACTATTAAAACTGGTGCTTTATCTGCAACGTTTTACAATTATACATATGCATATTCTTCATGTAGCCCCCATTGGAGATCACAAGACATTCCTATCAAAATAAAGTACTATATGCATATTCTTCATGTAGCCCCCATTGGAGATCACAATACATTCCTATCAAATAAAGTACTATATGCATATTCTTCATGTAGCCCCCCATTGGAGATCGCAAGCCATTCCTAAGTACTAGATTTGAGTAATTGTGTAAGCTTCAAATTTGCTTGCTTGGTTCATATAGTTCTCTTGGTTACTAAACTTCTCTAGTTTAATACATAGTTGTCATTTCTCTTAACTATTCTATAACATCGCTCAATGTGCCAAGCTTCTGAACCCAGTAGCCATGCTGTTTAGAAAACTAAATATGTTTTTCTGCTATGCAATTATGTAGTTAAAAACTAATATTTTTAAGTATTCACTGAAAAGGGTAGAACCATTCCAACCACCAGAAATTGGCAGTCCATACCTCCTCCAACTTGTGCTCCAAATGCAGCGTGTGATAAGGATGCACTTTCGCTACTTGGAGGATAATAGTTGTTTGTATCATGAGAGGCTGATACTTTCCTTCCTTCCTTGTTAAGAAAATCATCCATGTCGCAGAATATGTGATATTCAGAAGGCTGTGATGATAATCTTTACCTACAAGATTAAAACTGTGTATAATCAGATGTGTTGAACACGAAATGGAGATATATAATCCTAGTTAGAACCATCCATTTAACAAAGAAGCGTAAGGTATAGTTGAGACTGTAAATGGACATTAGATTTCTCCATGGGACTGTCAGTACTATGGGACTGCCTAGAAGTACTATATGATAATGCTAATTACTTTCTCTGTTTCGACATACATGGTACAACTTTGAAAAATAATTTTCAATAAGTACATTAGTTTTCAGATAAACATCTATGATCTATCTTATATTGTCAATCGATATAATTACTTATGTACTAATGAACAAAGTTAAAATTTTGATCTATAGGAATCCAAAAACATAACTGAAAATGATAATACCCAACTCATAAATTTAGCGGCATCAAAACCAGAAAACAGCCACTCTTGTTTTTCAAGAAAAAAATGGACATCTGAGAAAAGCGAAGTACTTCAATAATACAACTATGAACCACATGTTTTCCCCTAATATAACTATTTGTGTGCCACACAAGTTGGAGATGAGTGGCGGCAGAGAAGAGTGGGTACAGGTTAGGATGTGACTAAATTATGCAACAACATATATTGTATACCATATTTGTAGTACAAAAATAAAGAAATAATAAAAAGGACTGGATTTCATATACCTGACTACAATTGATGTAGGCAAAACATATTGATTAGAGCCTTGAGGAATTAATAGCAGATAGCCCTGCACATCACATATGTAAGAATGTTGTCACAAATATGCATAAACAGAAATATAAGAATCACTAGAACAAGACCATTAAGATTGTTAATATTGAGACCTTCTGAGTAGTGATATTTCCTTAGAACATGCTTCTTGTTGCTGAAACATAAATTGTGAAACTATTAGTCCTCTTCTCTAGTAAAAAAATTACAAGCAGTAAGCAACAAAGATGTTGCTAATGTATATAGATGCAATAAAATAATGTGGCACTCAAGTGCTCACTTAGCACCAAGCAGTAAGCCTATAGCCAATGTCAATAGATGCAATAAATAAATCTATAGAGTATATGTAACTGTATTTTTCTAAAATTTTGGTCAAAGTTTTAGAATTTTGACTTAAAAAACTTGTTCGCAGTTAGAGAAGTTTAACTTTGTCAAGGCGAAGTATAATTTAGAATAAAAGGGGAGGGAGTAGTCACTAGCCCATAGAGATACCCTCTTTTTTAATATCTGCGGTCACCCAGTAGCATGAATCTCTACATTTTTGCAAATCTGAAGTGTATATACTTCTTTTTTAAGTGTATATTGTTTTGTAAACTGATCTCCGTGATAACAGATAAAAAATGAAATAACTGAACCAAGAAAGTGCAATGTTAAAGAGAAATCGAATTTCGAAACAAACCCTAACCTGTGGGAGGATCTGAACCAAGAAAGTGCAATGTCAGTATTAAGGTATGGGGAATAGGTGACTGCAGAATAACACAATGCAAATAATTGCCAGTACTATGGGGAATAGGTGACTGCAGAATAATACAAAGTTATACGCTGCTGCCTAGAAGTACTATGTGATAATGCTAATTACTTTCTCTGATTCGACATATGAGGTACAACTTTGAAAAACAATTTGCTATAAATACATGAGATCTCAGATAAACATCTATGATCTATCTTATATTTTTAACAAATGTAATTACTTATATGTACTAATGGACAAAGTTAAAATTTTGATCTATAGGAATCCTAAAATAGCATGTATTTGAATGAGGGGATATCTAGTATGTAGTAGTTAACTGAAAATGATAAGAGTACAGTAGAGCAACTTATTGGCAAGCACCAAAAGAGTCATCTGCTAAAGATGTCACTTCACTTTTATAAGAAAAGGATTTCATAATATTACTAGTAATCTAGAAGCTATATAAAAAGTGTAGTGCCAGTATGTAGACCTAGATATATAAGAATTACTAGAACATGACCATTAAGATTGTTAATATTGAGACATTCTGAGTAGTGCCAATATTGTCATAATATTATGGTAAAACTGGGAGCACAAAAGAGGACCATACAGTTTTTTCAAACAAAATAAACTCTCTTTTTGCAGGGTAAAAAAGGTAAAATGTGTTTATTTAGTAAAGTCCGAGACCCACCTCAGCATGCCACATTGGATTTTTGCGGAAAATACAATTTGCATCTCAAAACCAGCCCCCCGTTGTAGGAGATGCCCTTCAGCCTCAGTTCTGAATATGCAGAAATACAATAGAACTTAATGAGCTGCCTAATACCTCCATCCGTTCCATATTATAAGTCACTTTGATTTTTTTGGTACATCTACTTTACTATGGATCTAGATATAATGTGTGTCTAGATACATAGCAAAATAGACGTACCAAAAAAAGTCAAAGATACTTATAATTTGGAACGGAGGTAGTAGATATATTGCATCTCCACACATATGCTGTTAAACTAAATAATTTATAGTCATCTAGAAAGCCATGTAAGAGTAAAATTCTTTTGTTCTGTACCTCTAATTTAAAGGAGTGTTGGTGATAATTTATAGTCACTTAAAAGGGCATTAACTTCTTTTTGTCCATTAACCAATCACATGTGTTTAGGGAATATGGTTTACATGCTGAGAATGTTTAAGACATAACACTGTAACACACTACAGACTTACACAGTAACATAGAACCAAAAGATATTTTAAGATATATTATGTTCAATTTTAAGATATTTTATATCATTAAAATTGTACTTTGGGTTCAAATTTAAAAAACCTAGAATTCAAAATTCAAAAAAAAAAATCTTTGGCATCAACCAAGAACGAAAAGCAGATAAATGCTATCATTTTTACAATTTACTTAAGGACAGTTTAACAATGGAGCAAACCAAAAATTGTTTTGTGAGCATCCAGTAGTTGAATGTAACTCAGACAACATCTATGGAGAATAACTAGTAGACTGTCCACTAGACTCCATTTCAGCAAATTAGTAGACTCTTTGTTGTAGAGTTTGATAAAATTGGCTCACGCAAAAAATCTCCTTTCTTGTACCAAACCATCAGGTGACAAATGACGTAATAAATAACCAATGCCAATAACCAAACGATCAGGTTTGCATATCAGAAAAACCAAAAAAGTATCAGTCTGTAAATGTACTTGGCATTAAATGTGCACAAGTAGATTGATACTAGAAAATGTACAACAATTTAATCTGTAAATCTACACAATTCAGTGCCTTATACAAGTAGATTCATATGGTACACTACACCTGTACAACAATTTACTAACTAATATGTTATAATTTTAATCAACATAAAAAAGGTAGGAGTTTTTATGTCTTTGTTTTTGGGGAGCCCTGTCAGTGCGAAAAGTGATTAACACGTAAATATTTTTAGTTTTGCCGTACGTTGTGATCGGATGTGGCCTAACACTCAATGGCACAGGGTTTATACTGGTTCAGGCAATGTGCTCTACGTCCAGTTTGAGTCGGTCGGTGACTTTATTCCTGAGCCCAGGTGCTCGAAGTTTGCTGTGGGGTTACAAACGAGAGAGAGTAAGATGGGGGGTATCAGAGGTCCTATCGGACTCCGGACCGAAGGGCCAAGAGTGACGGGAGCTCCAACGTGCGCTAAGTATTCGAACATATGCTCTGTCTGGCTTTAGAGTTCTAGAACCAAGCAGAGAGGATCAGAATCAGCTATCTGAATTGTCCGTTGGTTGTTAGAATCGTTTCCCTTTTTAGAGAGAGCGTATCCCCTTTTATAGAAGAAGAGGACAGCTTTACAAGAGAGAGTGTGTGAGAGAAAGAGAGTGTGTGTGCTACCTAGT